CAAAATATAACAATACTAATAATCACTAATAACAAAATATAAAGAAATACAATAATAGTTTGATTGTAACAATAATAAATTATAACAATATTGAGAATTTTTATCTTTATTATTCCTAAATAACTAAAATTAATAGTTATTGATGCCAAAATTATCATTAAAATCTATTTAAATCTATAATAATTAAGATATTAGGAGCTGAATGAGAAAAATATGACAAATAGCAATATAATTATTTAGACCGGTTCACACCGGTTTTTACTGGTTTTCACCGGGTCACACCGGTTTGATCGGTTCAATCCAATTCGAACCGGTCCCCGGTTTAATCTGTGAACTAGACCGGACCACTGATTGGTTCACTAGTTTTCGGTTGAACTGACCGGTCTGGTCTAGTTTTTTACACTAAGTTTTTCCTTATTAAAAAATATACCACAACTACAAACGTATAAAACAGAATAGAAGAGACTAATAAATACTAATTAACTTTCGCAACAAGAAGTTACATAAAACATTACAATGACTAATGATTGATATAATATAATAATTATGATTTGTCAACAATCAACATATCAACGTATAATATAAAATTTAATAAAAAAAAGTTGTTCAAAATTTGTGTAATGTTGTAAACTCATTTTAAGTTTTAATTTAGATAGATCCGATCAAGACTTATAGCAGCAAACACACCAGCCACCGTGGCCCTTGCGGACTAAGTGAGGGCACTTTCTGTAAACACAAACTTGGGCACATTGGCCATCATCCACACAATTGTTCAAGTCATATAACCCTTGTGCTTCTACTTTTGGGGCCACCCCTATATTCATACAATCAACAATACACACTTTGATCAATTTTAAGTTCCATTCCATTCACACACACGTGTGTGTGTGTGTGAACTAATGATGTCCATGTTTGGGTAGAAAATAGGAAAAAGTGGGGGAGGGAATAGATGACAATTATGTGGAAAGATAATTGAATTTAGAAACTTTGAGAAGGGAAATTACAAGAGACCAGAAAAAAAAGATATGATTATGTTTTATCTATCTCTTATTTTTATTTCTTTTAGAATATATTATGACCCGTGGCTAATATAAAATTTAGATGTCTAATTTATAAATAGTGAGAAAATGAGTTAAGTTAGTTATTTGTAATAAAAGTATATTGATTTTTCCAAACTTAAACTGCCCTCTTTTTTAATACTTCTTAAACTATTCTGTTTAATCAGATATATATATTAAAATCACTTTTTGGCAAAAAAGTTTTCGTCTCTCCGTATTTTTTATGATTTAAACTTGCATTTACCACTTTGTTGGTGTGGATTTTGAGACGTTCAAAAAATGTGTCGGCCAGCTTGCCTCCCCCACCCCCCACCCCCACAAAAAAAGAATTACTTCACCTTATATCCCAGGCCAGCCACTTGTCACGACTTTAATAAATCTGCAGTGAGATCTTTATAAGTATATTTATAATTATTGAAGCTTGTGTTTTGTCCACTTTTGAAGGGTTCTCTGTGCTCTGGCTTACAATTTAGATTTTAGATGTATAAAATTAATGAAAATGACTATAGAAAAGCTAGTACTACTAACACAGCGAGAGGCGTTGTTCTTTGAAAAAAAACAATCAGGGAATGATAAGAAACAATTTTTTTTGGATAAAAAAAATGCAAGGGGCTTCCTTCCCCTTAAAAAACGGGGTTGAGAAAAGAAGAATTGAGAGTATACATATTTTAATGCTACGATTGATAATATTTATCGTTAAATGGAATAAATAAAATCACCAATTTATAAGATAAAAATAAAATAAATAAAGAAAATGAATCCATTTGTAAGCAAATCCATACAGGATAAAAATTTAACTTCATTTCAAGAATAATATTGAACCATCTAAGTCTAACAATTAATTATGAATTTGTTGACAGTAAAAAAATTGTTAAAAAACTTTGACGGGATATAAAATGACATTCACTGCGTTTTGCGGTTGCACTACAAAATCAGTCTTTCATTGAATATTGAACGTAGTGGAAAAACAAGTTATTTATTCGTTCTTACGGGTACTAACTTCACTACGTACCCATTCAACCCATCTGTCTACAAAATCCAACTTCTTCAAGTTAGCTTCAACTTCGTGAAATTAAATTATACAAAACGCTCTGTAAGCATTATCTGAACTTCAAGACATCTCCTAAATTTGATAAGTTCCTCAGACCCAACTCAAATTTTTTTATCAGAAAAAATGGTACAAAACACGTCAGAGTTAATTCCTAGCATATCAAATATAAAATAAGGCAATCATATTATAGAGTGGATTTAATTTAAATCAACTAATTCGGTTTTAGATTTATATATGAGAATTTGAAAATGCTGATATGATGTGGCCATATCACCTTGCCAAATCACTAGGCTGATATGGAAGTACACTACGGCGACACGTCTTGCCAAAGAAGGCACAAGAGCATAACAAAAACCATCTTTCGTGGTCAGCATCTATTTTAGTTCTAAATATAAAATTTTAGTTCATTTTGTCTTTTATATATATTTTTTTTAAGGTGGTCCTTGTAGTAGTTATACATAACTAATACACATTATTAGCAAGAATATTTTAAAAAAGACAATATATATTTATTACAAATAATTAATTTAACAAACTTTCTTAATATACTCAAATTAGTCAACTAACTTTTATACTACCTCCGGTCCTAATTATAAGAGCCAGTTGACTAATTTGAGGAGATTAAGGAAGTAAGTTGAGTTAGTTATTTGTCCTAAATAGATATTGTCTTTCCCAAAATATCCTTACTAATTAAGTGTATTGACTATAACTATCATTGTTAGAAGGGCTATTTTAGGAAAAAATGTATAAATACGAGAGACAAAGTAGATTGGGGTCTTATATTTAGGACTAAAATAAAAGTCAAACAAGGTCTTATATTAAGGACTGGAGGTAGTATTAAAAATCGAGGTAGTATAATCAAGAAACACAACATTCTAAAGAAAATTCTATAAAAATACTTATTAATTATAACATATTTAATATATGTCTTATTTACTAATTTACCTTTTTTTGACGTGATATTTACTAATTTACCTCTCACTTTAATAATGTCTTAATTTAACTAGACATCACGATGGCTACGCAAATTCTAGAGATGGACGAAAGTCCTCCTTTGGTTGTTTGGAACTTTGGATGGTTTTGGGAAATTACTCTAGATCATAGAAGACAAGACAAGGCAATGAATACGAGTGATGATGCAGATGAATTTGCGAGTGTGGAGAGACTTTTCAAAATTAAACTTTATGTCCGCCAGTCATCTAATTACCATTCTGGTTTCTATCCTTTGCCTATCTCTAGTAATTATTCTTTTCTTGTTTGTAGTTTGAAAAACAATAGGACGCACAGGCGAGGATAGAGAGTTTATATGATCAAATTACCATGAAATCTCAAAAAAAAAAAATTAAGAAATCCTAATGATAAGTAATCAGCATGAATGTATTGCCATTCTCTACCATGAAATTTATCATTGCATGCTCTTAAGTTATTAATAGAATTTAGGATAATTAATTTTTTTTCTTGAAACCTGATTATAATTCTTTCAGTTTTTATTCCAGTAATGTTGTTTTATCCTAGGCCATTGCAGTAATTAACGGGGAAAGGCGTTCAGCAACTTCATTGCAATTTGTAAAATATCCATGATGATAATATAAAAGCTACAGTACTTATATAAGAACTAAGTAACTAATTAACATATATTAAGAAAATTAGTCAAGTTTGTTATTCATAATAAATTAATGTCATTTTTCTTAAAATACCCCTGTTATTTGTTAATGTTCAACCTTTTTTTGGCATAAAAAATCATATAAAGTTCTTCCCAACAGGAAACAAAAATGCCAATGCTTTTGGTAAAAGTGTAGAAAATCTAGAAGAAGGAACAAATGCCCCTCTTCACTTGCATATAGAAATTAACATAATATAACTTTAAAAGACACAAAATTAAGATTTGAAGGATATTTATTTTTGTCACCATTAGTAATTAAAAAGCATGTGATCTGGTGTGCATGTGTGCATGTATTGGCCAAATGTGATTTCACAGTGACAGAAACAAATAAAAGCAAAATCTAATATAATGGCATGTAAATTGAGCAAACAAAGTAAGGGTTGTCTGTGCTCGCGTGTGTGTATAATTTCTTTCAGATTTAACAACTTTTTCCTCTATAAGGATAGTTTTTGTATTTTTCACATATTATGACCGACATAAGTGTTATCTGTCTTGACAATTAAAAAAAAAATTCTAAGAATGATTTGATATCAAATATCATTGACTAATCCAAATTTTGAGTATAATATTTTCACATACCTTGTATGCATTATAAGTTAAGCTAATAACTATCATATCAAATTTCATTTCGGACTAAATGAAGAAAGTTTAAAGCCGTATTCAAACATAATACAATTAACTTGCACAATTTGTTCCAAATAACACTTTCTGAAAGCAGACGGTGCGTTGCAGTCTCCATTGCTCCCATTAATTGGCATCTTCTTCAACTTGTCCTCTTTTTCTGGGGACAAATCCTACATACGCACAAACACACACAATAAAAATTGTGTTAAAATATAAATATTTTTCAACTTTTGGCCTTAATTTAGTTTTGATTAATTTGATGACAATTCAACTTTAAGTCAATACTAGATGAATGGTGATGATGAATAATACTATATAAACATCAAATAAACATTGTGTATGAACTCAAATTAACTATATGGACGGATGGGTCCTGATGAATATAAAAATTTCAAATTTGAAAAAATTGGGGAAAAGTCCCACACATTACAAAACTTATTGGCAATAAGGATTTCATAAATTTTTATACACAAAGTTTATTTGTGATTCATAACTGATAGTTCTAAAGCATTACAGATTTATATATAATATGTAACTCAAGCTCCGCATCTGATCTATTGTGAATAAGCGGGAGCAAAGTATAGAGGAAGTACCTTTTAGAGAGTCAGCAAATGGTCATATGAAGGATGTGAGCAATTTTAGTCCAATCGGGTCCTTCCTCCTCTTCACAACTCTCCTTAAGCAAACAACATTCACCATTAATAGTTACGCGAGAAAGGGATGGAGGTAAAGCATCTTCTCCTGGCATGCCTTCATAACTCATGCGAGGGCAATAGTAAAATGATAAGGAAGTGAGAGAACGGAGGTGCACAAGACCCCTATGGTTTATTCTTCTCAAATTGGTACAATGCAAGAATGAAAGAGATTGGAGATTGGGCGGCAACAATCCCTCTTCTTCAGGGAACCACTCCATGACGTCATCAGTAATATCAAGTTGTTTCAAAGACAACAACTCATGCAAACCCCCATCCCCACCACACGCAATGAGCTTGGAACACCAACTGATTGAAAGACGTTGTAGGTTGGAAAGCATACCTCCATGGGGAAGAGATTCCATTGCTGGACAATGCCATAAAGACAAGTCATGGAGAGGTGGAAGTACGTCTGAGATGCTCCATGTGGGCATGTCTTTTGCTGATATCTTCTTACAATCTTGTAAATGTAGCTTCTCCATGGAAGAGGACTTGGGAAGCGTGGCCTCCAAATTCCCACATTCCAAAATGTCTAGTGTTTTTAGACAAGGAAGGTGTTGAGGCAAAGACTTTGTCAGTCTAGGACATCCGTGTATACAAAGCTGTTTAAGGCGTGGAAAACTTTCACCCTCATAACATGTATCCCATTCTTCCCATTCTCTCATACCAAAAAAGTTCAAATATAAGAGGGAAGGAAATGGTTGAGCAATTAAGGAGCCATTCCCATAGAACTCTTCACCTATCACCTTTACTCCATCAATTCTTCCAATCAAGAGTTGCTGGAGGGAAGTTAGTTGGCCAAGTGGTGGTAAGCTCACACAATAGAAGCAACTCTGTAAAGATAAAGACACTAAATTGGGTAGAAAATGTGCAACACCAAGAAGCCACTTTGGAAATTTGTTACCTTTGTATACATAAACAGCGAGCTCTTTCACACTCTGATTTGGTTCAATAGCTTCCAATATGTGCTCCTGGCGTTGTGCCTCTTCAAGACTATAGCTATTTTGCCGATACCACAACATCAATTTATTCAATTTCTTTTCTTTCAAATTGGCCTCCCTCATATCTGCAGGATCACTTATGTCCTCCATATTCGAGATGGCTAGTGAGCCTGTTAAGTGGTTCAAGGCTCCTAATTCTTTTATATTTGATCCTCCTTTCTTTGCCACAACAAAGTTATTCATTGTTTGGAGCTGATTTAACTTTCCCATATATTTGGGCATCTTCCTTATGGCACAATCTTCCAAGTCAAGATGACGCAAGTTAATGAGTTTATAGAAATTTGATGGCAACTTAGTCAAACGATCACAACCTCTTAATTTCAATGTTTGTATATTAATCAACGAGCACAATGAATTTGGCAATTTCTTAACTGAAGTCCCAGAAAGATCCAAATAATGCAAGTGCTTTAAATTGCCGATACCATCTATCAAGTTTCTGAAATTTCGAGATCCCTTCAAAGATAATTGTCGTATGTACTTGAGACGACAAAGCTTGGACATTATATCATCACCAATGCTATGATTGAAGACATCCAATAGGAAGAAACTGCGTAATTGGTGGCATTTGAAAACTTTGTCAAAAATCTCAAGATCATCACTTTTGCATCTTGTATATGAAAAGTAGCGAGTCTTCGTTGACATATCTCGTGCTTGAGCAGCCTCAAGACACACAAAAAACTCTCCTGCCACGGATTTTGCTAAGTCATTTAGAAGATCATGCATGATGAAATAATCGCCACCTTTTTTTGATGGCTCAAAAAAAGACCTGGACTCTAGATCTTTGAAAATTTCATCACCCGCTTCTTCAAGGCTCGTACTTCTTTGAGTTGGATGTATTAAACCATCTGCCATCCATAATTGGATTAGGTCATTCTTGTCTATGTCATAATCTTTGGGAAAGATTGAGCAATATGCAAAACAATGCTTCAAATTTGAAGGTAGATAATGGTAACTCAATCCTAAAGATGGAATAATATTGCAACGATCTTGTGACAATGTCCAAAGCTCACTTTTCAAAATCTTATTCCAGTGTTGAAAAGAGAGTTTTATATGCAACAAACTTCCCAGTGTTTTTAGTGCTAAAGGCAATCCTCCACATTTCTTTATGATTTCTCTACCGATTTGTACAAGATCTTGACCTGCAGCATCAGGTTGGTTGTTAAATGCATATTTTCCAAATAAATTCCAACAATCTCCACCTTGTAGTGGCTTCAAAGGATATGTGAAGGCACAACACATGACTTCTGCTACCGTCTTGTTACGGGTTGTAATAAGAATCTTACTCTGGGGTGCTACTTGTCTCAAGGGAGCTGTGAAAACCTCCCAAATTTGACAATTCTGATTCCAGACATCATCAAGAACGAGAAAGAATTTCTTGCCCATCAATGTCTCTTCTAGTTTAGACTGATTTACGTGAAAATCTTGTTTAGTTGGACAGTCAAGTGACTCAAGAATTGCTTTTGTGAGGTGATCAACATCATATTCTTCAGAAACACACACCCAAGCTTTATGTTGAAAATGATCCTTCATCCTTGGATCTTCATAAACAAGTCGTGCAAGGGTTGTCTTACCCATCCCGCCCATACCAGTGACGGCAATCACATCCATAGGCAATTGATTCCTGCATCCTATGTTCTGTGACAATAAAATCTCTACAATCCTCTCTTTATTAGCATCTCTACCATATATTTCGGATTCATCTATCAAATGTGTTGAAGGCAATCTTTTCCATACTTTCCTGCTCATCACTCCCGACTGATTACCAACAGATGGCCCTTCTCTTAATCCCAATATCTTATTTTGCTTCATAAGATTCTCTAGGTTGCTGAGCACTTCTTTGATCCCCGACTCTATCTTTTTGTCAAACTGATTTTGACTAACAAGAGGAGTAAAGAAGCCTCGTACCTTGCGGATAACAGTAGTACTTTGCGATTCAGCATCCAGCTTCTGTCGCGATGCCTCTGTAGCTATGTCATCTAGCAAGTCTTGAGCCTTAAAGACTTCATCTTTGAGCTCCTCAAGCCACTGCTTCACGCGATGGTCTCTGTATTGCCTTTCCTCTGCATCTTCAACAATTTTGTCCACAGAAATAAGGATGACACGCAATTTTGTCAGTAAGTCATGATCGAGCTTTCTGCCACGAAAATAGTCGAGAAAGTCATGAGAAGCCAATCTCTCAAATGCCACCTGAAGGAAAGAGGAGAGAAACGCTCCAGCCACCAACTCCGCCATGTTAAAGCTGAGAGAAAGTATTCAGCAACAAGAAAGGAAGAAAACTGGATGATGATAGAACAAGAAATTAAGAAGTTGTTAATGCTTCACTAATGAGGGGTGAGGAATAGATAGACGAAAGTCTTCCTCTGGTTGTTTGGGTGCTTCGGAGGAATTACCGCGTAATTGAAATCCGACATAATGGTTTACTTGCTTTTTCCCCTTTTTACTTTCGGTGCGGCATCACTTTTAAAAACAAAAAAAAAAAAAAAACAAAAGGAATGACAAGAGCCAACCGCTATTTCTTTTTTAATTTCTGTTTTATTTTTCTTATAAAATGTCATTTTAATAATATTTTTTGATAATTTATTGCTCTTATATATACTAAAAATATAATGAATAACTTATTTTATTGTGCAATTTATTATTTTGTACGTATTAAAAATATATCATCAAAACATAAAAATACAGGCAACAAATTATTTTGTTTGAAATTTATTATTACACATAGATTAAAATTTAAAAATTCCAAAAATATTCATTGAGGCGATTAATTAGGAAAAGGGGATGGCAAATCATGCTTAACAGCTAATATTGGGATTATTATAACAGGTGGGGCTCTTTACTTTAGTAATTAGTAATTAGGAATAGGAAATGCAAATCATGCTTGTTAACGTGGTGCCAAGGTGATATTAAGAATATAACCCCCACAATATAAAAATTAAAATACATAAGAGTTGGGTGTCCCCAATATAATTTATGTATTAATTAATATATTTTTTAAGAAAAATATACTTTTAATCAATTAAGAGAAGGAATGATACATAAGTAAGGGCGTTTTTGTGTAAAAATAAATGAGTCATTTTAGAGAAAATGATAAAAAGATATATGTTGAATTTCAAAATGCTAAATAGATGATTTTGACAGATTTTGACATGTCAAAATCATTACAAGAGTAGTTAAAACTATTACAAAAATAAATAAGCATTTTATATTTGAATATAGATAACAATTTATTTCAGTCTATAAATATAACTTTTTATACACAATTATCCAGGCGTATTAAAAATAAAAAATGCATGTTTTATTTTAGAATTTGTTTCTTCCAGTTATATAAACAATGAGAAAGTTATCAGAAATTCCCAGATGAGAAAATTAAATCTTAATATGTCCCAAAACATCCAAATTTTTCGCAAGTTTAGTTTGTAAATGAGGCAATTCAACTTGTAAATATGTAAATTTGACTCATAAACATGTATTGTTAAATTTGACTTTTAAATGATACAAAATTTAACTTATAAATAAGCATTTTGAATTTTTCCCCCTTCTGAATTGTATCTTATTCCATCACACACACACATATATATAAAAGATAATAATAGCTTGCATATATAATTTGTTCCGAATAAGATATAAATATATTCTTATTGTTGTTTATTTCAGATATCCAAAACATAAAAGTAGTGCAAATATGGATGAAGCAACAGAGAAATAATTATTTAAATTAATTAATTGTGATGATCTGCTGCTGAAGAAGAAGGAGGAGGTTTCTGGCAACAAACATACCAACCACCGTAACACTTGTTCACTAAACCAGCACACTTTCTGAAAGCGCACACAAAATAAATATTAATGTGTTCGTTTGAGTAGAAGTACAACAAAAGACTATAAAATTATAATAAAAGAATAAGGTGCAGATCAGATAAAGTCTTCTCTCGTGCACATCTGACGCCATAATAAAGCAGCAGACATTATCCACACTTAGCCGACATAACATTTCTGCTTCATTTAGAAACATTCATGTGTACTATGTTACACTTAAGAAAATATACGTACAAATGAATATTTCGTGGATAGATTTACACCAAAAACCCATAATCTATAATGCAAATTTTCAAACTACATGAATAAACGATGATTGATATATATACAGAGTGAGCCCACAGTTGACTAATATTTATGTATGTATAAATGTGCGCTTAGACAAAGAAGAGAGACAATAGTTCCAACAAAGATTAGTTCAGTTATGATGAGTTAGCTCATAAATCACGTGATCATGAGCTCAAATTCCGATGCTTATGTGAAGATGTTGTTGGTAGACAATCCGTAAGTATTTTCATAAGCGTTATCTTTGAGCCTAGAAGCATGTTCCAGCCCTATGAACATTTGAATCCAACTCACCTAAACTTTTTGGTACTGGAAAAAAAGAGAAGAAAGAGAGAGAATGAATTACCAGAAACAATGAGAAACAAAACCATTAAACCAATATTATGCCCCCCACTAGTTGGGTTAGAGTGAGAGAGCGTGTCTTCTCTCTACAATTCTCTTAATTACATGCATGCTTTCTGACTTATTTTCTCCGTTCCTATATTTATTCTCTCAGTGTTTGCTGTGGTGTTTAGTCTTTACCTTTTCTCTTTTGTCTATATCAAGGTTCTTTCCATGTCTTCACATGAAGATTCTAGGGGTTTTGGGGGTCCTAATAAAGTTCTTCTTGGGAGGAATCTATTAGCTCAGATGATGTTAATTCTGAACCCCTTTTTACTCACTTTCAGACAATGCTTTAGGGTCCCGCAGTTGCTTCGGATTTACTCCCACATGCAGAGGCTAATGACTTTTGGAGACAGTGTCTCATTGGTTATTTGATCAACTTTAAAACTTCAAATATTGAGAAGATAAGAAAGGCACTTCAACATGCATGGCATTTACGCAAGGAGTTTGCTATTGTCGATAATAATGGAAATGCTTATTATATTTGGTTTGAAGATTCTGCTGACAAGGATTATGTCCTGTTTCATGGCCTTTGGTCGGTTGAGAATTAATGTCTTGATGGAGATGCGACCTTGGAGGAGAGATCTCTTTCCACATGAAGACCAGCCTACACGAATAGCTCTTTGGTTCAGGTGTGGGGCTTTCCTCCAAGTTCACTACTAGAAAAAAGGCTTTTAACGGCGGTTAAAAGTGGCTTTTAACGGCGGTTTTGAAGGCGTAGTTGTTAAAGGCGACGTTGAAAGGTAAGGGAAACACGGCGGTTTTATATTTAACCGCCGTGGAAAAGGGTTTTAACGGCGGTTATATGTATAACCGCCATTAAAATTTTTTTTTTTTTAAATTCTGCGAAATTTTTGTGTTTACCACCCTGCAGTTTACAGCTCCAAACAAATGTAGGCAGTGCAGATCACGCAGAACAAGATCAATTAGCTAGTTAATATACAGCAATGAAATTTTTTTTACACAATTCGAAAATAGGGGAACCGGCCAATATAATAGAACTAAGTGGTTACCAAGGAACACGTATTGGCTAGGTCCAACAATTCTGAAATAGAAGTAACTACTTCTTTGTACAATGGAAATCATGAACAATATAAGAGGGAACCGAGACAAAGCATCTAACAATGAATTTTTTGACAAATAACCTATCTATCTATTTGAAAGCTAAATTTCAATTTTTTCTACCAATGTTGTTGACAAAGTGTCCCTCATCAAGTTGATGTCATCCATGAGATATGGCGCAGTATTTTGAAATATCTGTTAATCAAAAATAACATAGTAAACTTAGTCAAAAATGTGAAATAAATTGAAGAACGTCATGCAACGTAACTCATCTTTACCTCGTCTAATTTCTCTGTCGTTGCTGTCTCAATTATGTCATTCATGTAGCGGATGACATAATATCCACACTCAACATGTCCTTGTTGACAACGGTACTAAAAAAATAAGATATAAAATTGAATATTAGACATTATTGATTATAAACATTGACTTTAATTCATCAAAAAATGTTTAAAAGTTAGTTCAAAACAACATATACCTGTGGAAGAATCCATGTTGGTGCTTGTCTATTTTGTTTAATCGCCACGACATTAAAACTATGAAAAGCCCTATCAACATTATAAGAGAAAATGATATTAGAGCATGCTTGTATAAACTTCACAAGTAATAAATATATAAATAAAAACTAACGTGTCGATGACATCTTTGGTTTCTTCGGATGGACTTCCACAGAGTGAATCGAACCAGTAAACTTTGTTGTCAAAAGGGGCACAAACAATTAGAGTCCAATGATAACTGCAAAAGGCAAACCATGTTAATTATAACCCGACACATACAACTTGTATATCTCAAATACAATAATACACTTACCCTTCCACGTAAGGTGCAAAATATATTAGCTTTTTGGTCTGACTCATTGCGGTCATAATGTAGATTGACCTTGCTTCCACAGTATTAAATTCTTTCTGCACCCTTTGAGGACACATAAAGCCATATGTTCTTTCAAGTCCTCCGTTTCGACAGATTTGATTAAAATGCCTGTTGTTCAAGTAAAAAACATTAGGACATGCATGAAGTATAATATGTAATAAGAAAATGATATTGTAACTTACAAAATAGCAAGCTGCATGAAGGCTATATCAAGCTCCTCAAAGTTGAGGAACTGAACGAGGTCCTTCTTGTCAATGGTGAAGTCGTATGTTATATCTGAACCCACAACCCCCAACGGCATCTTGAAAGTCACAGGCTTATCCATGTTTGGCACCATGGAATGAAGAACCTCCAAACTGGAATACATAAGCGCAACATCACTAGGAAGAGGCAAGAGTACAGGATCAGATGATGCGCTCGTTGTGGCCTTCTTTGCTGCCGCCTTCTTCACTATTGGCTTTGTAATAAGTCTCTTTGGCCACAAAATGAAATGTCCTTTAGCTTGGGCCAAGAGTCGAACCTCATCAGTAGGATTAGGCACTGGTGTACCCCCTGACCACGAACAATCCTCTCCACTGTCACCCTTGCTTGATTGCTCGGAATTTTGTTGCCGTGAATCGTTGTGCCCATGAATGCTCGACCATTAGCAACATGAACAGGTGAATTTTCATAATCCACATAGAGAGAACACGGCATCCCATTGTCTTCGACAGGGTCAGGGCTAGGGTCAGGGTCAGACACTGTCAGTGGCTGTGTCTGATTATTACTGCCCTTTCTTTTCGCTTTTTATCACAGGTGAACCCTGAAACATAATATGA